TAAAATATATTTGAAAAAAAATAAATAAACAGGGGAGGGAATAAATAAGACAATACAAACAATTTTAAAATCCACAACAGTCACAATTAAGACAGGGCTGGGTGCTTTAACAGCCGCCAGCCTGCTGGAACAGCCAGGACTTAGTAGCTTTACGGAAGGCCGGGAGGGTAGTAAGGGTCCGGATCTCCACGGGGAGCTCATTCCAGAGGGCCGGAGCAGCAACAGAGAAGGCTCAGCAACAGAAATGTGGATGGCTTACTTCATATTAATTAAATATAATACATTCATTCTAATTATTTTGCCAGGTAATTCTTATTATCTTGGCTATTTTTTGTCAACTTCTAATGTTAGATCTTTAAGAGTTCAAAAGGCGTTGAATGTAATCTGTTCTAATCTAATGTGACTTTTATGAATTACTGTGAATTTCTTTTTAATGTGTTGCAATTTTTAACAGAGTTTTAATGTTTTGTACTGAATATTTTAATGTGTTTTCATTTTTCCTCTTTCAAAAAACATAAACAAACAAATAAATAAATGTAAAATATTTTTGTTTGATGTACCAACGTTAACTTTTTTTTTTTACTACGTTCTGTGAACATCACTAGATGCAAGAGGTAGAGAGCAAGCAAGCATGATCAGTTTACCTTCATAGCCCCGGGAGCATAAATCATCTTTAGTTCCGTGGACTTTCCATCTACTCCATGTGCCTGATCCTTTGTACAACATAATTCTTTTTTCATTTTTGTTGCCATAGTTGAAATGCAGGCTTGCATTATGGATAGCAAAAAGTGTGTCATTTTTGCACTCCCATTTCTGAAGGCTACTTGTTGTGTCGCATGGGTACAGCTCAACTGGTGTCCAGTCAATTTTTGAAGATACTCCCAAACATAATTTCTTGGAAATACTCATCAACTGGTATCTGGAAATCCACCTGAATTTTTGTGCCTCAGTTTCATAATTGCAAGCAGCCGTTGTGACATAGGTGGCACTCTGAACATATACACAGACCTTATGGTCTTCATTATATATTAGAAATTTGCTTGTATCTATAGATATAAAAATAAGTTAAAATTAAGTAAAGCAAGCATTGACCATAGAACTGGTTAAAAAAAAAACTAGTCTTGCATCTCACTGAATTAAAATATGTCTTCCAGATTAGAAGACTGAATATACAACTAAATAGACAACTTTTAAAAGTGAGTTAAGTGTTAACACATATTGAATTTGAGCATGCTAAACTTTAATAGGATTGATAGATTTAAATAAAATGAAACATTAGAATCAATATTAACAGCTAAATTTCAGGGCACAGTTTTGGAAATTGTAATAAACTATAATTAATTTCTTTTGGTAATATTATACTACTTAACTGTTTTCCTACAGACTGTAGTATACAAATGTGCTATTCCTACCTAGAAATTTGAAATACTATTGTATTTAACTATACTACATGAACTTCAAAAATATGGGTAATGATTAGATAACTGCAAGAGATTTTGGTTTGCTCTGATGGTCTTTTGTAATTTTATTGCCAGTTAAAGTAAAGCTAGTTTTTATTGTTTATATTTATCATGTAAGTAATTTCTAAATCAATTGCACTACATTTTACTTTATACTTTCTTCTTGAGAGGCAATAGACAGGTTTTCTGCAGAATTATGACCTAAAAAATCTTCTGTTTCAGTAAAAGTTTGGACTAGACTTATCTCATCCATAAACCAATTACCGCCTCTTGTTGTGTTTGGCTTAAGTCATTAGAAAACAGAATATAGCTGATGAGAACAAACTCTTCTGTTTGATAGTTGGTCTTTCTCTTTGACAATACCAGGAAACAGAAAATTATCACCAATAGTGATAAAGCTTACTATTGCATTGTTCTAGCAATACTCAAATAATTAAACAAGCTAATACTGTATATGCTATGTTTACAGAATGTACTATTTTATGGCAATATCTAGTCTTAAGGGTTTTTTTAAAAAAAGGTTTCCAATGTTATAGATCATTCTTCTATATTGGTGTATGACTATAGTAAATATTGTTTTGAAAATAAAGCGGATGGGGGATTTCATGGACTTCCAGAAGAAAGGCAGGATGCAATGGGGATAATTGTGGTAATGACCCAGACAGTGGAATGATAATTATTGTGGTAATGCATGTGTGAAAGGGATGCTTCAAAATGCATAAGGATATCTTCTCAAATGTCTTGTAAGCAGCATGTCTTTTTTTCAGGCTTGGGCATATGTCTGAAAGAAGACAGAGCTACTTTAAAGAAGTCTTGTGTTTAAGCTCACACCCAGCGGCAATCTGATGTATCTCTTCCAAGTAATAAAACATATATAAGAATAACCATAATCCAAACATTATATACAGGTCACTCTGCATACCAGCAGACAGTATAAAATCTATCTCCAAGAAAAAGTTATAGAACAGCTGTGAAAATAAGTCCTTCCTTCCCTTCCCCAGCAGTAGGAAAACTAAAGATTGTCTTCAAGGCTATGCCATGCCAAAAAAGAGAGTGTGTTTGGTGTTCAAACCATGAGATCCACAGTTGTCCACACGACAAAATAGAACATAACCATCTCAACTTTAGGAAATGCATGAGTTCTGCATAGAAGATATCAGTTGAGATCCTGTGCAGAAGATTTGACAGAGAACATGAGATCAAGGTAAGCAATATAATTATTTTGATTCCTCCTTCTATTGATTGAAGCAGTTATCTATACCAGGATTAACCAAGGCTACATTTAGAATACATAGGCTCATACGTCTGTATTTAATAAAAGTGTGTTTTTTTCTCAATAAAACCTTAGAAGAAGATACACATATATTTTACATATGTATATTCTACAATATATATGTGTGTGGGTGGGTGGGTGTGCGTGCACATGCGTACATGCTACACATGGTCCCTGACTTAGGACCACAATTGAGCCCAAAATATCTGTTGCTAGGTGAAACATTTGTTAAGTTAATTTTGCCCCATTTTGTGACTTTTCTTGCCACTGTTGTTAAGTGAATCATTGCTGTTATTAAATTACTAACATAGTTGTTAAGTGAATCTGGTTTCCCCATTTTGCCCAATTTTGTGACTTTTCTTGCCACTGTTGTTAAGTGAATCATTGCTGTTATTAAATTACTAAATGGTTGTTAAGTGAATCTGGTTTCCCCATTTTGCCACATTTTGTGACTTTTTTGCCACTGTTGTTAAGTGAATCATTGCTGTTATTAAATTATTAACACGGTTGTTAAGTGAATCTGGTTTCCCCATTCACTTTGCTTGTAAGAAGTGATCACATGACCCTAGCACATTGCAACCATCATAAATACGAGTCAGTTGCCAGGCATCTCACTTTTGATCATATTCCCATGGGGATGCTGCAATGGTCATAAATGTGAAAAATGATCATAAGTCCTTTTTTCAGTGCCATTGTAACTTTGAACAGTCACTAAATGAACTGTTGTAAGTCAAGGACTACATGTAGTACATGCTCAACTCTTTAATTATGATTTTATGGAGGTGAAAGAGCAAAATGCTTTTCAGATATTTAGCTAATGCATTAAACAAAATATAAAGTGTCTTTGCAATTTCTGAAAATCCTGAAATCTTTACTTTGCAATCATGTGCAAAGTAATCATTTAAATAATGATTTTAAATCAGTATTTCCCAATGAGTTAAAATGAGATTGCCCAAAAAGAAGTAGGCGCAAGATTATAGTTTTAATGTAGTAATCAGGAGCTAATTTCATAAGAGATAAATATTTTTTGCGTTTAGAGTTAGAAACACTGAAGTTATCATACTGCTGCTTTAAAAACTTACTCAACCCATGTAAAACTGCATCTTAACAGAATGGCTAACTAGGAATAAATACACTTTTTTTTTGTTAGTACAAATTCATATTTCATGCAATATGAGTTTATGCTGCGTATTGCAATACCCATCCCACTTCAGTAATCTTCAATGATTGTATTAGATGATGAAGGGTGTTTGGGATTTTTAATTTTTAATTTAATATTCAGACAGACAAAGAAAAATTTGGCAGATGACAGCCCTGTGCAATAGAAACCTCACCTGTACTATTTAATCAGACTCATCTTCCCAGCCTGCTATTACTATTAGGGTTAAATCATTGCGCTAAATATCAATATGAAATATATATATTCTCACATGGGAGGAATGCTATGCTATTTCATATGCACACCCCCATTCATGGCAAAGGCCTGAGAGCCACTTACCCACAAGTGAAACAGCACCGTGAAGAGCAGAAAGGAAAAAGAGAAGACAAGAGATGAACATTGCTAGCCAGTTTCCACTCTTTTTCTTTCTGCCAAGATATGTCATATCATGGGCTCCTTTTGTAGCACATCTTATTAAATCCAGCCAAGAGGAGAGATGGGCTCATTTCTGAGAACTGATAGTTCCGTGGGTACATTCTGGAGCTCAAATGATAAGGAAATGTGCTTCCGCATGGACCATTTTGGAATAACAGGAATTTGTCATTCAAACTTTGCTTCCGTAAGCTAATTTCACTGCTGAAGTGGGTGGGGGAGAGGACGGTCTGCTTCCATAGAGTCACAGGTGATAAAGCAGTGATTGTTCAGCATTTTTTCACTTCTGGGATTCTAAAATCAAGATGGAGGCTAGGAACAGGGCAGTCACGATTTGCAGGAAAGAAACCAGTTAGAATGCACTGTTGCTGCCAAGAAATGTATTTCAGAAAGCTGATTTTCAAAAGGAAAAAAGCTGCTTTCACTCCTTAGTAAGGGGGGGGAAAGCCACATTTTTTTAAAAAAAAATATTTTTTTATTATATGTTTTCCTTTCTTATACATAATGTTTCCATTGCTGCAATGGCAGTGTACTGCCTGTATCAAATCTCTTTTGAATGCATATAATATTATACACACCCAGAGGTAGATTCCTACCAGTTCGGATCAGTTTGGATGATTAGGCAGTAATTCGGCTGGCCACGACTCCAAAATGGTGCTATCGGCAGTGCCATAGGCTCTGCCATCTTGTTTTTTGCTGCTGCGCATGCGCAGAAGCAAATGTTTTTACCAAAATGCATCCCTGAACGAACTGGCAGTAGAAGAAGGCAGAACTAACCTCTGTACACATCATAATTATAACCATTATTCTCATAATACATACAATATAATCTTCCCTTCCAATCATCCTATACAATTTCATCTATAATCAAATATAATCCAGTGTCAATATTGCTTATGGCATTATTGCTTATACCTATATATTTACCTTTATTTATTGATCATCCTTAATTATAAATTATTAACTTCTGCTTCTATTTTTTTAACAATTTATAAAATAAATCCCAGGTCAAATAATACTCTGTTTCCTATTTATTCTTAATTTTCATTGTTAACATATCCCTTTTGGCAAAGTCTAATATTTTCTTTATTACATTTTCATCCATAGGTATACTTTTGGTTTTCCAATTTTGTACTTACTTAATGCTACCTGCCGTTATCATATGTAATATTAAATATATAATTCTTTTATTATATTTTCCCAGTAATATAATTCTTATTTTAAATCTATTTGTTGGGTTTTCATTTCTTCTAACCACCTTTTTACCTTTTACCAATATTTTTTCACCATTGTTAAGTATGATTGATCCTGCTGTAGAAATTAATGTAGGCCTACTTTTCTAGATGAAGCCTGCAAGTTTTTATGAATCCATCTGGTGTAAATCTTAATAAAGTGTTTAAATCTAGCTAGTGTTTGAATAAACTATTACCAGGGAATCCAAAGGCTGTAGGTTAGACTGTGAAATCAGACATCATCCTTGTGTTACTAAGATAAGATGACCAGACGTCCCGCTTTTGGCGGGACAGTCACGATTTTTAATAATTTGTCTCATGTCCCGCAGTGTGTTCAAAAAGTCCGGATTTTCCAAAAGAAAGAAAACAATTTTAAAAAGGACGCTGTTAAAAAAAAAAGTTTTTATTTCTCTGAAGTGTCGTTCCCGATGTGGCCTTTAGAAGGTAGTGGTTTCCCTCTCTCCGCTTGGCTTGCTCACAGCGACCGACGAGGGGCGAGGCTCCCTCCCCTCCTGTGCGTGCGCCGACGCACACTGTTTTTCTGCAGGCAGCACAGCGAGGAGGAGGCTCGGTCCCGGGCCAAGCGGCTCAGCCATCGGAAAGTTTTCCTTTCTTTCTTTTTTGCCCGCTTCTCTCAGGCGCCGCTCTCCCTGCAGCCATTTCTCCCTCTTTCTCCTTTTTGTCCTTTCTCCTCCTTCCCCCCAAAAAGAGAACGAGAGGGAGAAAGAGGAGATGTGGGAGATAGTGGGAACGCTGTTTTCTGAGCTTGGTGAGCAAGAATCTCCCACCCCACCTCCTCTTTCAGAAAGAGGAGGTGTGGGGAGATTGTGGGATCGCTGCAAGGATCCCACTGTCCTACTATTTTATTTTTCTTTGTGTACACTGAGAGCATATTCACCAAAGACAAATTCCTTGTGTGTCCAATCACACTTCTCTCTCTTGAAAATGTAAGCTAGCATAAGGCATTATAATGCAAGCTAGCCTTAACTTTCAAACAGTTCATTTAGTAACCAAAGTTACAATAGCATTGAAAAAAGTGACTGATGATCATTTTTCACACTTAGCGACCATTTTCACACTTAGCGACCATTGCAGCATCCTCATGGTCACGTGATCAAAATTTTGAGGTTTGGCAACAGATTCGTATTTATGATGGTTTCAGTCTCCTGGGGTCATGTTTGACAAAATATAAAATTTTTTAATCAAGCACCCCCCCCCCCGGTCAATGGTGTCCCTCTTTACCAATCTGAAAATCTGGTCACCTTATACTAAGAAAACAATGTCCTTGTAACATAAGATATTTAGAATAGAATAGAATAGAATAGAATAGAATAGAATAGAAAAGAAAAGAAAAGAAAAGAATAGAATAGAATAACAAAGTTGGAAGGAACCTTGGAGGTCTTCTAGTCCAACCTCCTGCCTAGACAGGAAAGCCATTTCAGACAAATGGTTATCCACCATCTTGTTAAAAACTTCCAGCGTTGGAGCATTCACAATTTCTGGGGGCAAGTTGTTCCATTGATTAATTGTTCTAAGGTCAGGAAATTTATCATCAGTTCCAAGTTGCTTCTCTCCTTGATTAGTTTCTACCCATTGCTTCTTGTTCTATCCTCAGATGCTTTGGAGAAGAGCTTGACTCCCTCTTCTTTGTGGCAACCTCTGAGATATTGGAACACTGCTATCATGTCTCCCCTAGCCCTTCTTTTCATTAAACTAGATATACCCAGTTCCTGCAACTGTTCTTCATATGTTTTAACTTCCAGTCCCCTAATCATCTTTGTTGCTCTTTTCTGCACTGTAGAGTTTCCACATCTTTTTTACATCATTGTGACCAAAACTGGATGCAATATTCCAAGTGTGGCCTTAATAAGGCATTATAAATGGGTATTAACACTTCATGTGATCTTGATTCTATCCCTCTGTTTATGCAGCCTAGAACTGTGTTGGCTTTTTTGGCTGCTGCTGCACACTGCTGGCTCATATTTAAATTGTTGTCCACTAGGACGCCAAGATCCCATTCACAGTTACTACTGTTGAGCAAGGTACCGCCTATACTGTACCTGTGCTTTTTGTTTTTCTTGCCTAAATGTAGAACCTTACTTTTTTCACCATTGAATTTCATTTTATTAGATAACGCCCAATGTTCAAGTTTGTCAAGATCCTTCTGTATCTTAAGCCTGTCTTCTGGAGTTTTGGTTATTCCTACCAGCTTAGTGTCATCTGCAATTTGACTGCTTATGATGTGAGACAAAGGTTATCCCACTGCTTTCAGGCCTAAGGTGGGAGCTTCTCCATCAAACTGGATTCTATCTTTATCTTTACCTTTATATATCATTGTTCAATTTGAGGCAATTTATCCAAAGAAAGGGACACAGTGGCTCAGTGGCTAAGACGCTGAGCTTGTTAATCAGAAAGGTCGGCAGCTCAGCAGTTCAAATCCCTAATGCCGCGTAACGGAGTGAGCTCCTGTTACTTGTCTCAGGTTCTGCCAACCTAGCAGTTTGAAAGCATGTAAAAATGCAAATAGAAAAAATAGGAACAACCTTTGGTGGGAAGATAATAGTATTCCATTCCAGCCACAGGCAGACCTCCTGAGCTCTGTTTTCCCTGGCAGAGGGTTGCAAGAGGCCACTGCAGCTGAAAATGGAGCTTGGGAGCTGTTTTCTCTGGCAGTGCACACAGGCCACCACAGGCGCCCCCTGCAAGAGTGACATCAAGCTGGTTGCACCCACTCTGGCAGGCCCACCCTGGACCCTGAGGTCAAACACAACCCTGATGCGGCCCTCAATGAAATCAAATTTGACACCCCCCCCCCAGTCTAGCACAATCCAATTCATCTGTATCACTTTTTCTGTTCAAAAACTTCATAAAAAAGACATAACAACAACAAAATCTCTAGCTTGATGAGTTTTTACATTTTTCTATTGCTGGAATCTGTCAGATGATGGGTAGGGTTGGTATTAAATCTTCTTCCACTACAGAGAGCAATACTTTTCTGCAAATGTTTGTAATTCTGCATTACAAAAAAATAATAATCTGCTATTGCTATTAGGCAACCTGGATTTTGTGGAACTGCTAGTGACCAGGATAGAACTGCTGAAAAATAAGTAATTTTAAAATTTCAAGTTCTCAGTGAGAAGCCTTTTCTTTTGCTGCTGCCTGTGAAGCAATATATATATATATTATATTATATTATATATATATATATATATATATATATATATATATATATACACACATACATACACACACACACTGTGTGATAGGAACTATTGTAAACCTCATGTTTCCTTTGTCAAAAACAAAGGACAAAAAATACTCTTTATTAGAAGTTCCTGCTCTTCATTTCCGTTAGCTATAAATCACAACCATTGCGGTTTTCCATCTACAACCGTACAGAACTTTAATAATTCTGAATCTCATATAATGATTTTATTATTATCCCCATGCATTGAAAATGCTTGATACTCTTTAATAATATTGATGATACCTGCTCAATGGTAAACTTTGAGTTAAGAATTTATGAAAAAAATGCTCAGCATCTTGCAATGGTATTTAATTGATTATGTAACTTATTATTTCAATCCATTAATCAACTAAAAGGATATAATAGCAACTCTAGCATACAAAACTATAAGGAATATTAGACTATGAAACATGCATACACACACACACACAAATACATAGGTACCAAAGGGGCATACTTGGCCTTTGAGTGGTGCACAGGAGGTCACCCTTTTTTTAAAAAAAAAATGGGGCTACAATAAAGAAGTAGCCAGTTCCAGCATTAAAATACATATAATTTAATTAAAACTTAATAAT